CTCACAAAATCCTGGGGGGGGGGGGAACAGAATTGCAAGATGTGACCTCAATTAAAACTCGCAATTATGATACATTAACCCATCATTCTGAGAAAAAGTCAGAATTATAAGATAAAAAGTTCCATGGTATACTGCATTCTCATTTCAGGATAGTATGTGAAACAATATGCAACAGTGTAAACTTTCAAAAGTAGAATGCATACTGTGGAAACAGCAGGAGTAGTGTGGTAGCATTGGTAGCCATTTTGAACATTACCTAGGACTCCAGTTACCAATTATATAACAGTACTGTCTATTTTAAGGGAATGAAATGATCTCCCTGAATGCTGCAGGTACTATAGCGCCACCATACTGCAGATGTCTGGAGTACAGGACGATCAGATGGCCATCTGGCTGGCTTCTGCCACAGCCTTCACCAACTTCCTGTTTACTCTAGTAGGCGTGTGGCTCGTGGAGAGGGTGGGCCGCAGGAAGCTTTCTCTGGGCAGCATACTAGGTGAAGATTCAAACACAGCCATAGACATGGATCCTTACTAACAGACTGAAGTATGTACAGTAATATTGGCTATTGCTATAAATATACCCCAGCGACTTAAGACTGGTTTTGTGGTCCAGGGTCACATATTGTAATGGTGTGTGCTGTGAATGACTCAGGTACTGCTGTAAGTCTGATGGTTCTCGCTGCGGGTTTCCTGCTCTCGGCTCAGGCCTCTCCACCCGTGACCTTTCACCCCAATGACCCCTCCCTCCACAACTCCACCTGCATTACATATAGGTGAGTTTTGCTTTTTAGTAGACTAGATTGACCTTTGGATTGTACCAGAATAAGGTCTGTGCAAATAAGAAAAAATAAAATACAGTACAACTGAAGTTATCTTCACATTATTCAAGTACAAATATAAAAGTAGTTTGAGAGTGTAAGAGACTCTATTATATCATCTACAATACTTCTGAGAGGGAACATGCCACTGAGCGTTTTCTTCTGGCGCTTTCTCATCCTTGTGGTAACAACAACTTATCTGATTGGTGGAGCACTTTTCAGGATTATGGGTAGTCTAGTTCTTTAGCCGGAATTACACTATTAGTCAGTTTTATAAAAAATGTTTCAATCACACTTGCTTGTGGCTTTTACAGAAGCTTACAGTATATTAGCACTTAAAGGGATATTCCACCCAAAAATGAAAATGTTGTCATTGTTTACGAAGTCATACAGTTTTATGGTGAGTAAAGGATAACATAATTTTTATGCTGATGTTAACTGTCTCTTTAACAATCTTAGAGCTGTGTTTTGGAAGTTTTATATGCAATTAATTATTAAAATCAATCTCTCTGTGGAAAAATGAATAGGATTTTTACTTCAGGAGTCTGACGGTTGCGCTCCATAAACTCTATAACTGTATTTTGAATGTGCTACTTGACATATATAAATCCAGTGCACTAGTGTGACTGGAGTTTGTTTCTGTCTGTACATTAAAGGTTCTGTGAATCCTGCATGTTGAATCCAGATTGTGGTTTCTGTTATGGTAAGAATGGCACAGCCGTGGTTGAGTCGTCATGCATGCCTGTGGACGTGGCCAACACTGAAGCAGCTGCGGCGGGCAGGTAATACCTCTACTGTATGCAAGTCTCCGGCCTTGTGAAAAAGAAAGTGTACTTAATTGTACTGAATGTGCACTTGTGGTGTACTTCAAGTTTTAAAAGTATATTTAAAAAGAACTGTTAATAGTCATATTAATGAAATTCATTCAAAGTAGTTCTGAGCTTAAGGTCTGTAAACCCCTCCCTTCCATAAGCCTACTCTGCTCTGATTGGTCAGCTGGCCAATGTGTGATTGGTACATAGAGGAGTACGTGAGCAAGTTAGCGATTGCTACCACTGACAAAGCATGCACCTTTACATAAAACAAAAATATAGTGCTCAAATCCATTCTTAAAATAATGACATAAAACATTTTGTTTAACACTTATGCAAGCGAATCGTGTCCACAGCTAAAGTTTAGCTGCTAAACTGTAAACACTTAACAAAACAGTAATGGTGGATACGTTAGCTTAGCGCTAACATGACTAACTGATGAAACAATATAGTTTGTAAACCAGAATATGTCTACTTTCTTTATTATTAAACAAAGTAATTAGAACAACAGTCTACATTAATTGACACATTCTTAGGAAATAGTGGGTTCTCAGTGAATTATCAGAACTATTTTGGTAAGACAGTAATATCATGGTTTACCTGGAAACCTAAAGCTGCACTAGGTATACATCACATATTAGCACAAAAAACGTCTCAGGTTACGTATGTAACCATGATTCCCTGAGAAGGGAATGAGACACTGCATCCTGTAGAGGTCACTATGGGGAACACCTTCAGTGTGACCGGTGTCTGAAGCATACATCTAAACACGACAATAACATTGGCCGGCGACAGCCTGTGACGTCATCAACCGGCGTGACCACAGTATAAAAGGGCGCCGAGAGAACACGTCATCTGCTTCTTCGTCTGAAGCTTGCATTCGAAGCATGGCAAGGGAACTACAGGACGCAGTGTCTCGTTCCCTTCTCAGGGAACCATGGTTACATACGTAACCTGAGACGTTCCCTTCCGAGGGAACTTCGAACTGCGTCCTCTAGAGGTCGCTATGGGGAACGGTATACCCATGCCGGCATGCTGAGGGGAGTGCATGCCAGAAACCACGGTGAGCAATAAGTACCAACTCTACCATAGCCATGGGAGTTGCCCCAAGGACGCCTTGACGGCTGTCAGTGACATTATCCCCTCCGGCCAAGGGCCTGAGCTGCATACCCTAAAAGAACTTACCTGTTAAGGGTTGAGCTAGGAAGCCC